CCTTAGTAGACCTAGTTATTTCGCGTTGGGGCACGCCCAAATGTTTACTGATGGATAACGGTACCGAGTTTGTGAATAAGGAGATAAAGGAATTCGCCCGCGAAAACGGGATACGGCACGATACCACCCCTCCATACCACCCTCAGGCGAACCCAGTAGAAAGGGTCAATAGAGTTTTAAAAACAATGATAGTCGCTTACATAGATAGGGATCATAGGGATTGGGACCGGAATATTGCGGACTTCCGGTTTGCATATAATACCGCGGAGCATTCCTCCCTGGGAACTTCGCCGGCATTCCTGAATCTGGGCCGAGAGTTGATACCGAGAGGGAGACTGCGAGACCGAGGTAACGAGATGGCTCAGGTCGACGCAGCCGATCCCACGGTTTGGTCGGATAGAATGGAACGGCTGAAGTTGATTCGGGAATGGGTTGGCAAACGTTTAGAGGAAGCCCAGGAAAGGCAGGCGACGTACTACAATCTGAGACGTCGACCTCGCCATTTTCATACGGGCGCACTAGTCCTGCGAAGACGGCACGTTCTTTCGTCGGCCGCCGAGAACTTCGCGGCAAAGTTGGCACCCAAATTCGAAGGTCCTTTCCGAGTCGGGAGGAAAGTGTCCTCCGTAATTTACGAGCTGGCTCGTCTAGACGGGTCAGCCGCCGGTAAAAGCCACATACAATATCTAAAACCCTACTATTCCTCCGACCCTGAATAGGATACCGAGGAGGGGACACGAACACCCCGTGAGGCGAAGTCCACGAAATGTACCTGAGGTCGCAATAAACCAACTTTCGTTTGTAAGACATGGGAGACCCCGTTAATTGCGCCCTATTGTCTGTTTTATCCCGGAGCGACACCTTCGGGGTTGTAGTCTCGAGAAGAGGGACTCTCTTAAGACACCGCGGGAAAGTCGAACCTAATAGTGACTGTTGGCATAATTCGGGACCTCGTGGGTGGAGGTCATGGCGAGAGAAAATTTTGAGTTTGAGACAGTGATCGAGTGGGTGGTCATCGATGTGGGTCGATGTCCAAGACCTTCTCGGTCCTCCCCAGGAAGGGGGGAGTTGTGACGTGGTCTTTTTGAGCCCGTCACAAGGACGGACACGCCCGGCCGGGAAGCGTCTGAGAGCGCTGTACAATTTTGTGTTTCGTGCGGGTGAGCAGCGACCTTTTCGCTAGCTCGCCCGTACTCTGTATCGGGATCGAGGTGGTAGGCCAGGAGAACGGCCATTGTTTTAGGGAGAAGAGGACCTAGGCAGACGACGGAGGAACGACCTCGAAAGGGGAGGAGCGGAGACTGAGCGACCGGCCCGGTGAGTATTAAGAACAATAAAATATACGCGGTACCGAGGAAATAAGGAAGGGATACTGCAAATAAACTCGTTACAGCCTCGATGGGACGAACAGGAGCGGTCCAAAACAGGGAGGAAAAGGCGCCTACATCCCTCGACAAGGATGATTCCCCTGAGGGGCCCGCCACCACACATCGAGAGAAACACGGAGATCTAACGGGACTGATCACCCCGAGACGACTTCCCTCAGCAAATAAAGGTCGTTCGGAACATCATTATACGGCCATACGAGGTGTGGACGGGACCGCCGAGAATGGACCTGCTGAATCGTCGATCCCGAGGGCTGAGGTTTGAATTTGGCGGCGGAAGTCCGACTAGCCGCGACAGACGGAAATCGATACAAGGATCGATTCCGGGTCTGGCGCGGGGCGCAACACTGCCGCGAAAACCTGGCAACCGGGCCGGGGTGGCGCGCATTGTCTTCCCCCTCCCCACCAGCGTACCTTCCGAGGTCCCGCCGGCCCGAAAGGAAATCACTGTTCGGCAAGCCGGTGTCCTGCGAACACGTGGAAGGACGACGACCCACAGCGACCACCTGCGACGGCGAATTATTGTAAGGCCACCTCCTCGATCGTCCGGTAAGCGCGGATTCGGCAGAGACCCGTGAGTTATTAGAGATGTGTAACGATACCGAGCAATTATGCTATAAATAATTTAGTACCGAGAATTAGTTGAGAGACTCACGGGACTCGCGTCGATTTCCGCGTCATTAAGTTGTTGCGTAAATCTTTGCCTTCTTCGCCTCTCCGAGGGGCACCGAAACGAGTCAACAGTCACATCGTAGTATATTGTAATTGTAGCATTGTATCGAGTCATTGATTAACAATCCTTGAGAATAAGTTACGCTGGATTAGAGTATGATCTATTCGATTCCGAGCCGGATATAAAGGGAGGAGAGTAATAATAACTAGAGATTTCGATAAAACACAGCGATCTCCCTACGGCTCGATAATAATATTATAGTTACTTTTATTCACTCCATCTATATACTACTAACTGAAAATATATTCTTATTTTATCTTATTTCTGAGTACAATTAATATCGAGATTTCCTCTCTCTCTCCGAGACGGCGATTCCGAATCTCCTTACGGAAAGAACCACGACACTCTACCCTCTGTTGATACCGAGCTACCGAGGCCGAGCCGTCGTGTCCGCTGATTATTTGCCGAGATATTGTTGAGTGGTGCGGCCTGACCGCACCTGGCGCCCAAAAAGATACGATACCGAGCAATCAGTGATACCGAGCAAGTATTGAGAGAACGGAGAGCGGTACGACGAGGTTGCGCAGCGGTCTCTCTTGCACTCTCTCTCTCGTTTGACGAGAGAGGGCGGAGAGACGGTCGCAATTCATAAAATGTTTGTATTGCACCAAACAAAATAATTATGTGTATCAAATTAAAATGTAACAAACTTAAAACATTAGAAATATATCTTTTATATTAGGAACACATATATATCTTATATATCTTATCAATCTATTTAATATATGTCTTTTACATTTTCTGCAAATTGTCTATCGACTAGATGCTAATAGATACTAAAATCGACTAGATACCGAGTGATGATGGCTGTGATAAAATAATACGTGGGTTCTTGCAATGTCGCTATCACAGTTTTACATATATATATAATTAATACATCCCACCTCATCTTTATTACGCTACATTATATGTATGTTTCTATATTATTATTATTTGTATATAGTGTCACGCATCACTCGTTAAAGATGGCAATTGCAGACTTTTTTATTCCGTTGTATAGTGAATTTCTTTATATAATAACCTAGATATACTATATATAATAATAAACGTTCATATGAATAAAAAAAAGAAAAATATGAAAAAGAATTTTTGACAAAAGACACAAAGGCATTTTTTCACGGTATATGACAGTAGCAAGTGTCTTTATATTATCTTTAACCTTGTTAAGAGTTTGCTTCATTCTCTCTTGTCTCATCCGTTGTCTTTCTTCTTTCTGCTCTTTTCTTCTCTTTTTCTATTGTTCGAATTCGTCGTTGTTTAGCAAACCGCAACCATTCTGCGACGATCTCTTCGAATTCAATTTCTTTTGTTGCCGGATATGTATGTAAAATAGCATCTGTGAACAAATTAATATAATTAATGATGTAAAAATGTAAACACAATGTGAAACAAAAACTAGATAATAAATTAAAGTAAATTTAGATTTATTAGGGTTGATGGGGTTAACTTCTAACAGTAGAGTTTTTATGATAAACAATTGAATAAAGTGAAAAGTAATCAATTATTTTGCATTTTGTTTCATTCTATTTTATTTACGTTTAGATAATAAGATTAGCATAAATTAGCATAAATTTTTGGGTTTTTTATAAAAACCGATCATATTTGCAAGTCTAAATACCATACAGCTCTTATATTTTGCTCTTATACCGAGTAAAAAATGTTAAAAATTAGATTTAAAATATAACTTTTGTGAAGGTATATTTATACACTTTCTGTAACAAAAATTTAAAGAAATTCAACAACAATTTGACATTTTTGGCAAAAATTAAAAAATACGAGGAACAATCTTTTTTATTGGATTGAATTTTAGATAATTAATAATTATATTGCAATACAGGAATCACTACACTTGAAGTGGTTTCCTCAGGATTTTGCAATTTTAAACACTTTCTCTGTATTTGTGATGCTAACAACGTAATCCGTTCAGATATAAATCTTTCGTTAACCAGAAAGATGCCAAATTTTTGAGAATCGCACGGTACTGAAAAAAAACGACCTCGTGTTGCTATAATGATTTCCTTTTATGTAAAGAACATTATTGTTGCTAAAAATTTTTGTTACGATAAAAATCGAATCATCATTCAATTGACAACAGTTCTCATAATCCTCTGTTGAGATGAAAAATCCATCGAATTCGAGAAATTTGATCTTTATTGCAGACTTCGAATAGTGTACAACTGGATACGATTTGCGGTATTGAGTTTGAATAGGTACAGCATTTTCTTCTGTTATACGATTAACAATTTGATGTAAAGGTTTTTGCGAATTCTTAATCTGTTTCTTTATTGCCTGCAAACAGTTTTCGAATTTAAACGCACTGAATTAATCTAAGCAGCCAAATCGGGTTACATCAGAAGCAAGGTGCACGAGATTATGTACATTATGCGTAATGTGTTCCGAACCATACAATTCTCCATAATGCGAAACAAACCAACATAATAAAGATTGAGCATAATCATTCATAACTAAACACAGTTTACGATCAGCTAAAATACGGATTGCTAAGCTGAATGAAAGGAAATGATTATACAAATCTTTCCGCAAAACTGATTTCAAAACCACAGGACCAGTGTAAAGAAGAAACTGACGAAACTCAGTGGCCTTCCATCTATCGATATCGTTAAAACTTCTCGGTTTTCTGCTAAATTCTTTAGTTATGAAGCATTTCATTGACTCTATATTTTCTGACGCAGCCTGCAGTTGTTCGTTCGTAAGTCGAACATTTTTAGGGCCTTTAACCCAGAATTGAAGAAGACGTTTGGTAACTCCTAAGCATACAAGATGCATATAGTCTAAAACAACTTGAGAAATCATACCTATATTTAAATTTAATAAATCTGAGTAACCCACATGATGTTCAGGCTGTTGTTGATGTTGAAAAGAATAATCAATTCTTAATTCGCTATTTATTTCAGGGAAAGTAATGCGATGGCCCAATGCATCTCCTTCTTGAATACATTTAGAACATCAAAAGTATCCATTGTGACCTTTCGTATAAGTAAGAAACGACTTTGCAGGTGCATCGCAAACAAGTGCCTTGACACTTACACAACACTTATGATCATCAACATCAAGGCCGTTTCTAAGAATTTCAGTCATGTCAATGATAAATTCTTTCAGATAAATATTAGCATCAGCAGGTTTCTTGTTACCATAATATATGCCAACAACGATAGGCTGAGTGTAGAAATCAGTTTCGATTGATATTAAAATTTTCCAAAATTGAGCTCGCGAACTTTTGAACAAAGGTAAACCGTCACAATTTATATTTATTTCTATCTTATGGGGGATAACTTGAAAGTACTTTGCAATCGAACGTTTCAGTCCATCTGTTACTCCGAAATGCACGTAATAGCCATCATTCATTGGTTGAATTTTATACGACGTATTTCGAGGTGTTTTCATAAGAGTTCGAACATCTATTGGTAAATCAGAATGACCATGCAAAGAAAGAATTTTTAATAATGCATTCACGCTTCTGTGTGACACGTTATTTTGTACAGTCCAACAGCGCAATTTATCTGATAAACTTATATTGATAGTACTTGGAATGTCACAATTAGTTTCAACGAAGGATTCATTACTGGAGTCATTTGACAAATATTCCGCTATATGTGTTGTCCCAATATCAGCAACATCACCCGTGTGAATAAAGACATTGCTTTGAGTTAGAGGAATATCAAAATCCATGGAAGAAGCTGATAACTGGTCGTTGTGTATCTTATTGGCAATTGAATAATTGAGTAGACTGACATGATCGATATGGCAACTATGAGATAAAGGTGTTATATGAGAAGTAGATGGCTGATTATGATCTGTCAAGTACTGTGCAATTTGTGCATTGAGCAATTGGTTTTTTCTACGTTTAGATAATGAGGCAATATCTTTTGGCATTTTTGAAAAAACGATCCATTAAAAAAATTTCATTTAAACTTATGATGGATAAAAAGGTAGTACAAAGGTGTATAATATTGAAGATACTGAGTGCAATTACAGTTGAAAAATCTGTAAGATAAAGAGAAATAAAAAAAATTATGATAATATAATTTTAAATATCAATAGTTTTCTTAGTAATTTGCTTTTACACTGCTATTATGACAATAATAGAAAGTGTTTATTGATATTAATTATTAGTAACTAAAAAGAAATTGTAAGTATTTGTAATTGTATACTCAACAATGCACTATTCAGAATATGGCAATATGTATTACAGTAGCATGTAATAGATAAAATTCAAAAACAAAAATAGAAACCCAAATGCCCAAGCATAATTATCGTTTCACTGTCTATAATGATTTATGCAAATGTGGCTAAACTTTTAATTTTGGCTATTTAAAAGCTACAAAATACAAGATTAGGTAATAATGCAGAGTGATAGTTAAACTTGAGCAAGGCTAATCTATTTAAGAATGTGGAACTAAAAACAAAATAGTTTTTATGCCTCCTTACTTAATTATCACATACGTACCTGATTAATAATGCGAGCTTTTATAAATTGTGCTTATATATATATATATATATGTAACGGTACGGTTTACGTATCGCCTCGGACGGCTCGCCGGGATCAGGATTCGACGGGGTCGGAAGGCCAAACTTGCGTACACGTGATTAAGCTTAACAATTGGTTTATTCAATTACTATTTACACTATGTATACAAATGCTTAACCTAGCGGACGATCACACTGATGTTTATGTACAAACTTATTCCTAACGCGCGGACGGACGATATATCTCGCGGTCGCGGAGCCGCGGGCGGCGGCGCGGCGCGCTGCGGAAAAGTCGGATGCCGGGTACACCCTGGCGTCAGAGGGGGCACGCCCGCCTCTGCCGACCGGAGAGGAGCCGAATGCCGGGTACCCCCAGGCAGCGAAGGGGTCAAACCCACCTCCGTCGGCCGGACACAGGAGACCGAATGCCGGGCACTCCCAGGCAGCGAAGGGGTCAAACCCACCTCCGTCGGCCGGACACAGGAGACCGAATGCCGGGCACTCCCAGGCAGCGAAGGGGTTAAACCCACCTCCGTCGGTCGTAGAGAAAGGAACCGAACGCCGGGTACTCCCAGGCAGCGAAGGGGTTAAACCCACCTCCGTCGGTCGTAGAGAAAGGAACCGAACGCCGGGTACTCCCAGGCAGCGAAGGGGTTAAACCCACCTCCGTCGGTTGGAGAGAAGGAAGTCGAACGCCGGGAACTCCCAGGCTACAAAGAGGGTACACCCGTCTTCGTCGACTGTCAGGAATCTTGGTCTTGGAAGCCTCGAGTACACCCAGAGGCTTGATGTCAGGATCAGAATTCAGGACAGGACTGGTGCCGGCTCTTCGAATGAGCCGGCTTATATACCGGTGCTGGTCCCCCCACGCGCTTACTTTCACGTGTTGGGCATCCCGCCGGAGGGGATGGATCACGCGCCCGGCGGATGGTCGGCCAGGAGCGTCGGGCAGGTGTTCGGCCCGGCGCACTTAATGACGACCATTAATAGGTCGTTACATCACCCTCCCCTTTTACAGGGAGGTGGCAGGCAGGGGGTGGACGGCCCGTGGTCGACCCTGTCGGTCGAAGCGGATGATCCACTTCCCCGCCGCCGTACGTAGCCGATACTTCCGGCTGATCGTGGCGGCGTGGAAGGGAACCTCCACTACGGTGCCATCCCCCAGCGTCACCTGCACTGGCGGCGTCGCGGCGGTGTTCGACGGAGGCGGCGGTGGTGGGCGCGCGCGGTGGGTTGACGTGGGTCCGAGCGTAGGCGGGCCGGATGGTCGGGCGGTTGCTGGTCGGCCGGAGACGGCGGCCAGGTTCCCGGGCCGGGACTCGGTGGCTGCGGGGGTCGAGATGTTAGACCCTCGTTGCTGCCCGGCCGCGGCGGGTGATCGGCGCGGCGCGTTCGCTCGGGCCTGGCGGCGTAACGCCATCAATACCCCTGGCCCGTGACGGGTCGTCCGCGGGAGAGGCGGGGTAGCGAGGATGATCGCCCGCCGTCTTGTCTCCATGTCGGACCGCTGGATGGTCGTCCCGGGCCGGGGCACGTGTGCGATTCGTGTCGGCGTCAGTGGTGCGGGGGTTGGTCGCCGTTTCCACCCTCCACCGCTGTCGTCGGATGACGAGGAGAGGTCCCCAAACAAATCGTTAACGTTCTCTAGCGAGCTCATCATAGATTAGGCCGGTCGTGCGGCTCGGGCTGCCCTTTATATACCCCATTCGACGGGGTGGGGGCGCGCTGGAATGCGGTAAACAATTTTTTGTCGTTAGTTTTTCGGTGGTTTGGCCAGGATAGTGAGGGCTACAGTCTGTTAATACTTATCTTGGGGGTTTATGGCCCCCCGATAGGCCGTTCGTCGTCACTCCCTGCGTCGTGTTCGTCGCTTGGGTCGGCTGTTTCCCTTGCTTCGGCCGGTTTTAGGTCCTGGATATGTACGTGTCGGTGCCACTTGCCGCGTGCATCCCGGAGGTCTACGATGACTGGTGAAATGAGGCGACGAACTTCCATTGGTCCGCTGAATTTAGGGGCGAGTTTCGCGTTGAACGCCTCGCTCTTCCGTGAGAGGTGCCGGTCGCGTTTCCACACTTGGTCTCCTGGTTGCGGACGCCATTCACGGCGTCGGAGATTATAGTGCCTCTCCTGCTTCTGGAACGCGCGGGCCAGGTGAACGCGGACAAGCTCGAAAGCCTCCTTTAGTTGCTGGCTGCGTTGCCCCGGTTCTTGCTCGTCAGGTTCGAATCGGTCCGCCACGTGAGGCCGGGCTAGCTCTCTCCCGTGAGTGAGGTATGCTGGTGTATATCCCGTGGCTTCGTGGCGGGCGGTGTTAATGGCGAACTGTAGTGCGTCCAGGTGGCCATCCCAGTTCTGGTGGTGTTCTCCGGTGTACTGGGCGAGCATGGTCTTTATGGTTCTATTGGCTCGTTTCACCGGGTTGCAATGGGGTGCATATACCGGGGAGGTGCGATGTTCTATCCCGAACCCTGCCAATAGTTGTTTGAATTCCCTGGACGTGAATTGCGTTCCGTTGTCTGAGTGTATCTGCGCGGGGCAGCCGTGACGATAGATGACCCGCGTGGTGATTCCTTCGGCTAACTGTCGCGCCGTTGCCTTCCGGAGAGGAATAAGCTCCAGCCATTTGCTGAATCGGTCCTGGGCCGTAAGGAGCCAGGTGTGTCCTCGTCGGGATCTCGGCAGGGGTCCCACCAGATCTACGGAGACCTGCTGTCCTGGTGCCGTGACGGGGGTGGCGTGAAGGAGACCGGCCGGTCGTTGTTGCGACACCTTATATGCCTGGCAGTTTGGGCATCGGCGCACGTATCGCGCGATTTCCCGGAACATACCGGGCCAATAATACAACTGGGCGGCCCGGGCGATGGTCTTGGACACCCCTAAGTGTCCCGCTGTGGGCTCGTCGTGCAGTCGCTGCAGGACTTCGGATCGTTGGTCGCGTGGCACGCATCTCTTCCATTGTTCCCCCGGAGGTGTATGCCGGAAGTCCAGGTCGTGCAGTACGTGGCGATATAGCTGCCCATCGCGAATCTCATAGTCTGGACTGGTCTCCGGTTCCGCTTCTACCTGGGCTCGTATCCGGTTGTACCAGGGACATGTTGGTCGATTGACGATGGCGCTGAGATGTGGTTCGTGAGAGTGCATCGGCTACTTGGTTCTGTGTCCCCCGACGGTACTTGATCTCGAAGTCGAATTGTTGCAGCTCGAATACCCAGCGGCCTAGTCGACCGGTGGGAGCCTCGAGCTGCTGCAGCCACTTTAACGCCTGGTGGTCCGTGATTACGGTAAACCGATACCCCTCCAGGTAGTCTCGCATTCTCCGGATTCCCCACACTACGGCTAGACACTCTAATTCTGTGGCACTGTAATTGCGCTCGGCGGGATTAAGTGTTCGGCTGGCGTAAGCGATGACGCGCTCTCCTTCCTCAAATTCCTGCGTGAGGACGGCCCCTAGTCCGTGTGAGCTGGCATCCGTTTGTAAGAGAAAGGGACGACTAAAGTCCGGGCAGGCGAGCACCGGTGCGGTTGTTAGGGCCTCCTTGAGCCGTCGGAAGGCTTGTTCTTCTAGTTCTCCCCAGGCCCATCGCGCGTTTTTTTTGTGAGGTTCGTGAGGGGCGCGGCCACGGTGAAGAATTCGGGGATGAATTTGCGGTACCACGAGGCCATCTCCAAGAACTGGCGGACTCGACGGAGCGTGGTGGGGACGGGCCACCCCGTGATGGCGCTGACCTTGCCTGGGTCGGTCTGGATGCCCCGTCGGTCGATAATGTGTCCCAGGTACTTGAGGCTGCTTCGGCTGAAGTGACATTTTTCGATATTTAGGCGTAGTCTGGCACCCCTCAGGCGTCGGAAGACCTCGCGCAGATGTTGGAGGTGATCTTCAAATGTACGGCTGGCGATCACGATGTCGTCTAAATAGACCAACACGTGGGGCTCCAGATCCGGGCCCAGGACTGTATCGAGGAGCCGCTGGAACGTGGCCGGAGCGGAGTGGAGGCCAAACGGCATAACCGTAAACTGGTACAGTCCTTTTCCGGGTACGGTGAAGGCTGTAGCTGGCCGACTTGCCTTGGTCAACGGGATCTGCCAATACCCGCTTTTCAGATCGAGGGTGGACAAGTACTGGGCCCCTTGCAACTTATCGAGTGTGGCGGTGATGTGAGGTAGCGGGTAGGCGTCTTTTTCGGATGCCGCGTTGAGCTTCCGGTAGTCAATGCAGAAGCGGTGAGTTCCGTCCTTTTTGCGGACAATGACTACCGGCGAGCTCCATCCGCTTGCGGAGGGTTCGATGACCCCCTCTTTCAGCATTTCCTCAACTTCCTGGTCGATCACCTGTTGCATGGCCGGGTTCCGTGGTCGGTATCGTTGTTTGATTGGCGGGCCGGGTTTCAAGCGGATGTGATGCTCGGCCCGGTCGGTGGGGCCCCGGATGGTATCGAAGAGGGGCAACTCGGTGGCCAGGAAGGCTTGCAGTCGGGTGTGCTCGTTGGTCACTCCGGTGCTCAAGGCGGTGATATTGGCGTTAGTGGTGGTT